GTACCAGATACCAGATACCAGATACCAGAAACCAGATACCAGATACCAGACACCAGTTACCAGACACCAGACACCGGATACCAGATACCAGACACCAGATACCAGACACCAGACACCAGATACCAGATACCAGAAACCAGATACCAGATCCACATACCAGATACTAGATACCAGATACTAGACACCGGATACCAGATACCAGAAACCAGATACCAGATACCAGACACCAGACACCAGATACCAGATACCAGATACTAGATACCAGACACCAGATACCAGACACCAGATACCAGATAGCAGATACCAGAAACGAGATACCAGATACCAGACACCAGATACCAGATAAAAAGATAACAGATACCAAATACCAAATACCAGATACCAGATACCACACACCAGATACCAGACACCACATACGAGATACCAGATACCAGATACCAGACACCAGATACCAGATACCAGATACCAGACACCAGATACCAGACACCAGATACCAGACACCAGATACCAGATACCAGACACCAGACACCAGATATCAGATATCAGATACCAGATACTAGACACCAGATACCAGATACCAGATCCACATACCAGATACCAGATACCAGACACCAGACACCAGATACTAGATACCAGACACCAGACACCAGTCACCAGATACCAGATACCAGACACCAGACACCAGATACCAGACACCAGATAGCAGATACCAGAAACGAGATACCAGATACCAAATAAAGAGATAACAGATACCAAATACCAAATACCAGATACCAGACACCAGATACCAGACACCACATACGAGATACCAGATACCAGACACCAGATACCAGATACCAGACACCAGATACCAGATACCAGATACCAGAAACCAGACACCGGATACCAGACACCAGATATCAGATACCAAATACCAAGTACCAGATACCAGATACCAGTAACCTGATACCTGATACCAGACACCAGATACCAGACACCAGACACTAGATACGAGACACCAGATACCAGACACCAGATACTAGACACCAGATACCTGATACCAGACACCAGATACCAGATACCAAACACCAGACATCAGACACCAGATACCAGACAACAGACACCAGACACCAGATCCCAGACACCAGACACCAGATACCAGATACCACACACCAGATACCAGATACCAGACACCAGATATCAGATACCAGACACCAGATAAAGAGATAACAGATACCAAATACCAGATTCCAGATACCAGATACCACACACCAGACACCAGATACCAGATACCAGACACCAGATACCAGACACCAGACACCAAATACCAGATACCAGACATCAGATACCAGATACCAGACATCGGATACCAGATACCAGATACCAGACACCAGATACCAAATACCAGATACCAGATACCAGATACCTGATACCAGATACCTGATACCAGATACCTGATACCAGATACCAGATAAAGAGATAACAGATACCAAATACCAGATACCAGACACCAGATACCAGACATCAGATACCAGACACCGGATACCAGATACCAGATACCAGACACCAGATACCAAATACCAGATACCAGATACCTGATACCAGATACCAGATCAAAGATGCCAAAGGATAAAAAATGATTAGAGATAGGGATAAAGTTATCGCTAGCATTGCATTAGCATACCAGCAACTGCGCTACGTGAGGTTTTAAATAAAGACATCAACGTGCAATATTTTGCATAGCGTTAGCATAATACTCGGATCGAAAACGGCCGGTAAAGTCGAAAAATCGACCGTTTTTCGGACGGTACGCGGCGTTATTTCACACTGGTTTCGCCGTTTATCGAAATATCGACTCGAGATCGGTCTCGTTCGATAGCTAAACGAAAAATACGTGCCTATTAGCTAAATCTGTTTGGTTCCACGTCTCGGTTTTTTTTCTAGAAATGTTCGAAAAAAAAGCGACAAAAACGACGAATCGCCTTGAAAACTACGATATCTCCCTTATGCCGATGAGAAAAGGAATTTCGCGCGTCGCGTTTCGTACATCTCGGCGAGCGCTACAAATTATGCGGAGAGACGTTTTTTTCGTTTACGGTACCCGTTTCGAATAAACGAACCTCGAACGTCGTCAAGAATGACTTTTTTGCGTATAAAGCGCGCTGCTTCGCCGTATATCAGCTATCTCCTCCGAAGATAAAGGAGCTACGAACCTGACGATTTTTGCGTGAGAAAGTCCATGCTTCGGACACTCTTTTAATACTATTTTCATCATTATTATTCGTTTACGTTGAAAAGTTTCGATTTTTTAAAAATTCCTCGACAATACGCTACTTTTCGACGCGTGAAAAAGTCATCTTGTCATCCGGCTCTGTCCTCGCTTATTACTACCGTACGTGAGCGAGTAAAAATTATACAGCTATCGAAAATAACGATAATGAGCTGACGAAACGATTCTGACCGTCAGAATTACCGTCAAATTTCGAAAAAGTAAACTTTGAGCGCCTCAAAAGTACCGATGACAACCGTTTTTCGGCGTACTTTGTCTTCGTCGATACGGACCTGCGTTACGGAGCGACGTAGCTACGATTTTTTTTCGCAAAACGAAAGACCAAAGTCTCCTGATTAAACCGACATACGACACGTTACCCGATCGCATTTTTTAAACTCGGCAGATTAGAAATTCAAAGATATGCACACATTTTTAGTTTGAAGTTTCAATTTTGAATTTCCCCTCCAGATCCCCGGATTCCTGTTAGGCGGGGTATTGTAGATACGATCGTATTACGAAAGCGAGCGAGTGCGAGCGGAACGTCAAAAACGTGCCATTTTCGGCTTCATGACTATCGCTGCATCCAATATTGGATCACGCCAAATAGAATTGTCCTTTTTTGCGCGTGAAAATCAACATTTTCGAAAGATTCAAAATTTCTATATTCCATTGTCTAAACGGACCGGACTAGAGCCATTAAAATCGGATGAATCTAGTAGTTTTTTATTTTTACAGATTGCGATGTCTACCGCCAAAGGCTGCAATTATTCTTTGACGTTCATCAATTTATTGAAATCATCATCGGTTTATAAATACTATAAAAATATGATTGTAAGTCCCTATTCATGTTATAATTTTACAATATGGCATAAAGCTCCGCTTTTCTAACCGATTGATATAAAGCGTATGTCTGATTGCATCACATTGCATCATTCTAACCTACAATGTATGAATGTAAACATTATCGAAATCTTAACAATGAGACTCCCGTTAATAAGGATTAATTAGAAGCTTAGAACAGCAATCGCAGCTACAAATAGTGAAAGTGTTGTGTGAAGTGTTTACAGTTTATGTGTTTCTATTGCAAACGTAAGTAGTCAGTCACTTCTATGAAGTTCAGTAAGAGTTCAGTCTTGACCCTCAGTTCAATGTATCTAAATATGTAGACCTATTAGCTGGCTAACAGTGGCACATATTATCAAGCAGATGAAGGAATATGCAAAGCGCTGAAAAATAGCATTGATAATCATATCTACTACCAAAGTTTTCAAATTACTAAGACTTTCACAGCCACTGCAGTTGTTTATTTTGATCTCAATGCAGAATGTATGTACTTCGATTTAGAATGTAGCTGCTTTAAGGACTTGTCACTTCCAAGACTTGTCAAAACAACAGACACCATTACTTGTCAAAAAACTATAGCACTTGATGATTTCAATTTCTATTCTGTTTTTAAAGATGTTGTTATTATATGTCTAATTTCAAGGATACTCACATCTGTCCTGTTTCTAAGACTGATCTTAATCATAGATTACAGAAAAATTCATTATTGAATCAGAGGAAACAGATTACAAAATTTGATTTTCAAGCGATACTATTACTTACTGTCAACAACTATAGTACTTAATATTTCAAGCTTCTGGTCTAATTTTTTGAGATGTTATTATTATATGTCATGTTCTAATTGATGATCATAATCATACAACATTCAAAAAAAATAGAGGAAATTTTATTTTAAGGCGATAGCACATTTTTCTCCAGATCATAAAGTGAGCATTGTTCATCTGCTTCTGTGAATTTTTCCCAAACGAAGAACTTTACCACCAACAAACTCATAAATATTGGTAAAAACCTTGTAGTAGTAGATCTCACGTGATAGTATGTATAAATGGAAAATAAGTAAACAAACTTGTTATCTATCCCTTCGATTGGCAATATTATCAAGCAGAGAAGGATATGCAAAGCGCTGAAAAATAGCATTGATAATCATATCTACTACAAAGTGTTTCAAAATTACTAAGACTTTCACAGCCACTGCAGTTGTTTATTTTGATCTAAATCGATTTAGAATGTAGCTGCTTTAAGGACTTGTGACTTCCAAGACTTGTCAAAACAACAGACACCATTACTTGTCAAAATTTGTAAGATAAGTACTCTTGCACAGTATAATCGTAACTTGGTATAGACATATTTGTGATATCGCTTAGATTAAGCCTGCCAGGGGAGTGAAAGTTACCTATACGAGTACTGAATCTACATTAAAATGATTTATGCTCCTTACTGGGAAACTATTTTTATTCTGCAGATCACATAATTATTACATACATCCCTTAAAAGGGCCCAATTTGAAGTAACATATTATAGAGTTCAATTTTCACATTGTTGTTATTTTTACGGGTTCTTCTTTCTGGCGATGGAAAGTTCAATTGCTTCTCCCTATTATACCTAAACAATGTAGGTCTATTTTTTTTTTCCCATCCACAAAGTGACAACTACATAAGTATGCACCAGGACCTGGTTCAACTGTTCTCCTGCAATAAATAGTAAAAAAAGACAAAAGTTCAATCTGAAAATATCCTATCAAAGAACGGTAGTTCATGTGAATAGCAATATCTAAATACAGCATTTTTTATAAGCAAGATACACACACATTAGCGGATCGCTCAGTTACATACCTGCTTGTAAACTAACGGCCTTATTTTCAACAAAATTGTTTTAAAACTCCACTTTAACCACTTGATACGGAAGAAGTTTTCTCAAGGTGTTATGTTTACTTTTTTTTAGTTTTACGGATTTCCTTACTATGATATTTAGGAATTAACTTTCAGATATTAATTTTTCCTTTCATTATGTTGTAGATGCACACATCTCACAATAGGAGTTATGAATTTTAATTTTAAACAAACTACATTTCATTTTTCCAGGTTAGAAAAAATTACCTATGACAATGACATTGACATTACAAAACAGAAAACATATACACTGAAGAAAGCATAGTCCACTGCTATCCGTAGACGAACACGGTTGACATATGTCAGTGTCAAGCGCCATTTTTTTGCAAGTCGTGTTATAGCTAGATTTATGCGACGATCCTCATATAAATCTAAGTCTGCTATACAATTTGCTACATGGAAGATTTTATAACGCCATGTATGGTATTAGAGAGATATTGCATATGGACCTAAATAAGGGTATGCATTATTTAGGTGAACCTAAATAAGTACAGTGGAATTAGAGATATTGCACATGTAACGTATTTTGACAGTTCGCTTTGATGGTGTTTATCTTAACCTCACTTTTCCTTCCAGTTTTTGCTTGCATAATATAGGTGGTTCGTAGTTGAAATTCTACCAAAGGTGTGAGAAGTGAGATTGTAAAATGGAAGCTGAATTGGAAGCAGTTATATTGGCAGGAGCAGATGAGGAGGAAATAGAACATCATCCTCCATAATAATTTATTGATAGAGGCATTACTCATACAGCACAATTCAACTTGGAAAACTTGCCAGATGAAGTAATAAGACTAAATTTTCGATTTGAGAGGTCTGACCTTCATAGGCTGATGGCTGTTTTACGAATACCTTCAGAAATTGTCACTATCACACGTAATAAAGTGGATGGTATGATTTTGTTTAAATATTTATTGCTATATGTTCATCATTTCAATCGAACTCCATCCTCTGACTCAAACAACACTTGCCAGAGGCTGGAATTCTATCAACATGAAAACCACAGTATAAGTTCCATTTATCTTCTTTCAGGTTTAACAGCATTGTGCATTCTACTAAGACGGCTGGCATATCCAAACAGATTGTGTGATATGGTCCCTATGTTCCACTTGTCAACTCAGTCTTTGTCACAAATCATAAATAAATTGATAAGTGTGATTATGGAGGAGCATGCTGTACTTCTCAACAATTTGAATTCATTGCAGTGGTTTAATAGGGAGAAGTTGGAGTATTATGCACAGGTATTGTATTGTGTAATAGTTGAAGTGATGGTTGGTTCATAAATGCTGAAATGTGCTTTTTGTAGGCTATTCATAATAAAGGAGCACCTATGAATAATTGTTGGGGTTTCATCGATGGTACAGCAAGGAAAATTTGTCGACCCTCTGAAAATCAAGAAGAGTATTATTCAGGACACAAAAGGTATCACTGCATAAAATTCCAATCAATAATTTGTCCTGATGGAATTATTGTTAGTTTGAAAGGCGCATATCCGGGAAGAAGGCATGATGCCAGAATATTTAGGGAGTCAGGTATCTCTGAAGAATTAGTGCAAAAGACATGTTTTGACACAAGACGATTTGTTTTATTTGGTGATCAAGGATATGGGCTGAGTGATGTGCTATTTACCCCATTTCATGGCAGAATGGAAGATTTACCTGCCCATCAGCAGAGTTTCAATTCTGCTATGAAAGTTCTAAGGATAGCAGTAGAATGGGGTTTTCAGAAAGTCATATCAGAATTTGCCTTTGTAGATTTTTCAAAAAACCAAAAAATGCTACTTCAAGACGTTGATGCTTTATACAAGGTGGCTGTACTACTTACTAACTGCCATACATGCCTGTATAGTAGTCAGACTGCTATGTATTTCAATACAAATCCACCTTCACTTGAGACCTACATAGGCCACTGATAAATAGAGGACATTTTGGGTTTGAAATACTCGTTTGCTTTCCATCGCCGCAGCCAAGACCAACCGCAGACAGCGCTGTTTCGGGCTCTTTAGCCCTCATCAGTATGGTATAGGTCTGTATCAGGTCCAGCCGTGAAGGCGGACAAATGGAAAGTAAACAAGCGAATGTGGTCTATCAAATAGCGGGAAGACGGTAAATGTAAAAGATGGCTCGCGCCATCTAAATTTCGCTAGAACTAGTTTCTTTGCAATGGAAAGCAAACGAGTATATCAGACTATATTATTGCATGTTCTGCAGAAAATGCTATTGTTAGTTTGTCCTGTGAACGCCTTGCGTTACGACTCTGGTGGCCGGCTACTGTTGGTTGGTACCGGGGTATCTGTACTCTGTACAATTCATCTGAGTCAGCGACCAGAAATCGTAAGGGGTTTCTGCTTTGCCTGCGTCGTCATTGACGAAACTTGCAAAGAAACCTCTAGCGCAAATTTAGATGGCGCTAGCCATCTTTTACATCTAAATTTGGGTTGTTTCTAACTTGTAACGCTTGATGATAATTTGTAATTTTTTATAGACTTGTAAGACCAATAAAGCTTGTTTGGAATGTATGTTTATTTATTTTACAACCATAAGGGCAGCAAGCACCCAATAAGAGATTTCAAACTAAATTAGTATGTTGCTGAAAATATATGAAATCAACTTCTTCAGGAGTTGTGGATGAAATATGTTTGATCCTGAAGTTACACAGTTTTACTATGTTCATACATGGAACCAGTTGCAGAATCAATTTCATATATTTTCGGCAACAAACTTGGTTTGTGCTCACCATCCTTAGCATCAACATTATTATTTCAATATAAGGCCAGTATATTATTTTTTTAATGGCAAATTATCTATTATCAAGTTTTGTCAGTAATGCTTCAATAAGCTTTTGTTGTGTTTTGATGAGGTCACTCAAGTTTTTTCTTTCAGCGACATCTTGCTCAGATTTCTTTTGTTCTAACTCTATCCTATGTTTTTTTTCTTGAATTTCTGCCTCAAGCCTTTTAGACTCCAAGGCAAGTCTTGCTTTGTCATTTGCAATTTTTTCTTTTTCATTATCCATTTTTTGTTCTTCTAACTTGAGTTCTGCAGATCTTATTTCTCGTGATATTTCCGCTTTTTCTCGTAGGTAATCAAGGCCATTTTTTCTCAATGTTTTACTTTTGTTCATCCTTTTGGTACGGGGGGCTGTAATGATCGAAAAGTAAGTAACAGCAACAATAAACAAATGTATTTAATCTTGAACATGAAATGTAAGAGGTAGTTTTGAGCTTTCTGTTTTATAGGTAATGTATAACATACTAGAAACTACTTAATCTAGTAGTAGCCCTCTGAATGGGATGCCATGGCAATGCTATATACGCTGTAGTCATCTGGATCCACTATTTGGTTAGTCTGGCCTGTAAATAAAACCGCAGTGCTAAACAAAAGAAGTTCACTGACAGGTTAGTCATTGCACTGGCTTTTATCAAAGTATATAACATAAGTACCTACACATTTTATATCGAGCACTGGTTTTATTTACTGGTCATACTCCATAACCTGTGGATCTGTTTTAGTGTTTCTATTACTGAAGATTCAAGCAGTAATCTAATCATTGTTTTACCTGATATCTGTTTTGCAGTTCCAACATCTTGTACAGATATCTGTTTTGCAGTTCCAAACATCTTGTACAGATATCTGTTTTGCAGTTCCAACATCTTGTACAGATATCTGTTTTGCAGTTCCAACATCTTGTACAGATATCTGTTTTGCAGTTCCAACATCTTGTACAGACTTATTATTATTTTCTGTGTCAACGTCGACTGTAACACAAACACCTAAAACTGTGATAATATAGTAATATGTATAAAAATGTTTAGAATAGTTATTTTACCGTAATCATGGTCGATTAAAGTGTCATCCACATCAGAAAAGGCCAGCAGTGCCATAGCCTCTCTTTCATGCGTGTCTTTTCAATCATATCTTTCGCTTGTTTTCCACTTTTTTCTTTTTTGCTGGTGTAGTTGAGCAGGTCTCTTTTCATTAACTCGCTGGCTTCTTGGAGCATATGTTCTCTTTCATTATAGACTTCTTCTATGCCAGACCTGTCAAACACAAATGTTGTTTCACCAAGTCTTACATTAAGCATTCTCTTGTTATTAAAATACATGTAGGTACAGTGTGCTATCTTATACTTACTTGACTTTGCTGTTAACCTCCTTTTTGAGGAACAGCTCCAGAAGATGGTTCAGATGCTTTTTTATTGTTCTCAAAATAAATTCTTTTCCCGTAAGCTCTCGCAAGTTCTGTAAGATTGAGTCCCACTTCTCAGGAGAACGGATAGGGTTTTGTGCAATAAATTCACGCAGCAAAATCATTTCGTCGTCATACGTGAACCTTATTCTCTTTTTATCCATATTCATAGTTACCAAAACGCTTCAGCAATCGTTGAATTTTGAGAGTACAAATTTATAGGTTAAATAGGCTTGCGACGACACCCGATTTGCTTAGATCGTGAATCGTCGTGACATAAGAACGCCTAAATAAGCTCCCCCTATTATAGCTTAAATAAGGACGTGCCTTATCCCTATTAATTCCTCATAGATACAGAATTGTATGTGCGCATGCGTAGATGTCAAAATAAGGTCTGCACTAATAAGGCAGATGTTTGCAAATCTCCCTATTAACAACAACACATGCGACGTTGCCGGCATCTCACATAAATCTGAGTCTGTTATACAATTGTATACAGGATATTTTCAATGCTATATGGAAGATAACAGACAACAGATAACAGGTAAAAGGTGGTAACAGGTAACAGGTGGTAACATATAACAGATAACTTATAACAGATAACAGATAAAAGATGACAGATAACAGATAAAAAGTAACAGATAAAAGAAAACAGGTAACAGATAACAAATAACTGATAACTGAAAACTAAAAAATGAAAACTGAAATCTGAAGAATGAAAAATGAAAAATGAAAATTGAAAATCGAAAATTAAAATCAAAAATCAGAAATCAAAAATCAAAATCAAAATCAAAAATCAAAAATCAAAAATCAAAAATCAAAAATCAAAAATCAAAATCAAATCAAAATCAAAAATCAAAAATCAAAAATCAAATCAAAAATCAAAAATCAAAAATCAAAATCAAAAATCAAAAATCAAAAATCAAAAATCAAAAATCAAAAATCAAAAATCAAAAATCAAAAATCAAAATCAAAAATCAAAAATCAAAAATCAAAAATCAAAAATCAAAAATCAAAAATCAAAAATCAAAAATCAAAAATCAAAAATCAAATCGAAAAATCGAAAAATCGAAAAATCGAAAATCGAAAACGAAAATCGAAAAATCGAAAAATCGAAAAATCGAAAAATCGAAAATCGAAAAATCGAAAAATCGAAAAATCGAAAAATCGAAAAATCGAAAAATCGAAAAATCGAAAAATCGAAAAATCGAAAAATCGAAAAATCGAAAAATCGAAAAATCGAAAAAATCGAAAAATCGAAAAATCGAAAAACGAAAAATCGAAAAATCGAAAAATCGAAAAATCGAAAAATCGAAAAATCGAAAAATCGAAAATCGAAAAATCGAAAAATCGAAAAATCGAAAAATCGAAAATTCGAAAATTCGAAAATTCGAAAAATCGAAAAATCAAAAATTAAAAATTAAAAATTAAAATAGAAAAATGAAAAATTAAAAATAAAAAAAAAATTAAAATAGAAAAATGAAAAATGAAAACTGATAACTTATAAAAGATAACAGATAC